TGTATGGTATTTTATTTTTACTGATGGTTTTCAGTTGTTCTTTGCTAGCATATAAAAATATGGTTGATTTTTGTTTGCTGACCTTATACCCTGTAACCTTGCTAATCTTGCTTACTAGTTCTACAAGTTTTTTTTGTTTTTTTTTTAATGTTGTTTTTATTGTTAGGTGCCATCGAGTAGTCTCCAACTCATAGTGACCTTATATATATCAGAATGAAATGTTGCTCTGTCCTGCACCATCCTCACAATCCTTGGTGTATTTGAGCCCATTGTTGCAGCCTCTGTGTCAATCCATCTCTATTTTTTGCTGATCTTCTACTTTACCAAGCATAAAGTCCTTCTCCAGTGATTGGTCTCTCCTGATGATATGTTCAAAGTAAGTGACACAAAGTCTCACCATCCTCACTCCAAAGGAACATTCTGGATGTAATTCCTCCAACAGTGATTTGTTTGTTCTTCTGGCAGTCCATATTCAATATTCTTTAGCAACACCACAATTCAAATGCATCAATTCTTCTTCAGTCTTCCTTTTTTCAATGACCAGCTTTCACATGCATATGAGGGTAATTGAAAAGACCATGGCTTGTGTTAGGTGCACTTTAGTCATCAAAATGACATCTTTGCTTTTTAAGATTTTAAAGGTCTTTTGCAGCAGATTTGCCCAATGCAATACGTTGTTTGATTTCTTGACTGCTGCTTCCTTGGGCATTGATCCAAGCTGTTGATCCAAGGATAATGAAATCCTTAGCAACTTCAGCTTCTTCAGTGTTTATCATGATGCTGTTTATTGATCCAGTTGTGAGGATTTTCATTTTCTTTACATTCAGGTGTAATCCATACTGAAGGCTGTAGTCTTTGACCTTCATCAGTAAATGCTTCAAGTCGTCTTCATTTTCATCAAGTAAAGCTGTGTCATCTGCATATCACCGCTAGTTAATGAATCTTCCTCCAATCCTGTGCCAAGTTCTTCTTCATGAAGGCCACCTCATATTGTTTGCTTAATATACAGTCTGAATAAGTAAGGGGAAAGGATGTAACCTTGCCACATATCTTTTCTGATTTTAAACCACGCAGTGCCCCCTTGTTCTGTTCGAACCACTGCCTCTTGATCTATGTACAGGTTCTGCATGAGAAAAATTAAGTGTTCTGGAATTCCCATTCTTTGTAATGTTATCCATAACTTATTATGAACCACAGAGTTGAAAGCCTTCACATAGTTGATAAAATACAGGTAAACATCTTTCTGGCACTCTCTGCTTTCAGTAGAGATACATCTGACATCAGCAATGATATCCCTTCTTCCATGTCCTCTTCTGAATCTGGCTTAAACTTCTGGCAGCTCCCTGCTGACGCATGGCTGTCACCATTTTTGAATTATCTTCAGTAGAATTTTTCCAGCATCTGATACTAATGATATTGTTAAATAATCTGCATTCGGTTTGATAGCCTTTCTTTGGAACGGGCACGAATATCTCTTCCAGTCAGTCGGTCAGGTAGCTGTCTTCCAAAATTCTTGACATACATGAGTGAGCAGTTCCAGCAATCCATTCATTTGTTAAAGCACCTCAACTGGTAGTCCATCAATTCCTGGAGCCTTGTTTTCTCGCCCATGCCTTCAGAGCGGCTTGAACTTCTTCCTTCAGTACTAGTGGTTCTTGATCACCTGCTGCCTCCTGAGATGGCTGAATGTCAATCAATTCATTTTGGTACAGTGACTCTGTATTTTCCTTCCATCTTCTTTTGATGCTTCCTGCATCATTCTTTTTTTTTTTTTGCCCATAGAATCCTTCAGTAATGCAATCTGAGGTTTGAATTTTCTCTTTAGTTCTTTCAGCTTGAGAAATGCAGATCGTATTTCTTCCCTTTGGGTTTTCTATGTCCAAGTCTATGCACACTTCATTATAATAGTTTACCTTGTCTTAAGCCGCCCTTTGAAATCATTCTGTTCAGCTACACGTCTTTTATAAGTTTCTGTTAGATGCCAACGAGTCGGCTCCAACTCATAGCAACCCCATGTTTAACAGTACAAAACATTGCCCAGTCCCGCCCCATCCTTTGCATAAAGGCAGGTATGTTTGAGCCCACTGTTTCTTTTAATAGATTCCTTCTATTTTCTACATACACAATCATATTGTTTCCTTTCCAGTGTATATGCCTTTTATTTCTTTTTCTTTCCTTATCATTTTGTTGAACTGCCAGTATGATGTTAAATAGCAGTGGTAAGAGTGGACATCTTTGCTTTCTTCCTGATCTTAGGGTATAAGCACTCAATCCCACACCATTAGTACAACGATAGCTGTAGATTTTTTTTTCCAGACAACTTTTTATCAGATTGAGGAAGTTACTTTCTACTTCTAATTTTCTGAGAGCTGATGTGCACCACTCGCCCAATCTAGGACCTGGGCAGTGATCTAGCCCATAGTTCAGTTCTCAAAGTCTATAATCTGCTGTTTAGGGTCAGATTTACGTATATACAGGCTGGAGGTTTGGGCCATAGAGTTCTTGTGCACTCTCAGGTTAATCTCTGGAAATTTTACAAGGTTTTGATACTATTATGAATCCCACCGCCACCAAGTTGATTCCAACTCATAGTGACCCCACAGGACAGAGGAGAACTGCCCCATAGCATTTCCAAGGCTGTGATGCTTATGGAAGTAGACTGCCACATCTTTCTCCCATGGAGCAGCTGGTGGGTTCGAAGTGCCGACCTTTCAGTTAGCAGCCGAGCACTTAACCACCGTATGACCAAGGCTCCTTACTATTATGAACAGTGTGATTTATTTTTAAAATTATATTTTGTTTGGTTATTGCTGACATAGAAAAAGGCTATTCAGATTTGTATGCTGATCTTGTATCCTGAAGTTCAGCTAAATTATTCTATTAGTTCTAAAAAGTTTTTGATTTGCTTGATTTTTTCTAGAATAGATCATCATATCCTCTGTAAATAACAAATTTTATTTCTTCCCTAAAAATACTTACTCTCTTATTTCTTTAACTTTCCTTACACCTTGGGAAAGACCTCTAGTATTATGTAAAATAAAAGCAGTGGTAACAATCATCCTTGCCTTGCTCCTGTTCTTAAAGTGAATATATTCAATGTTTCTCTATTAAGTATAATGTTTGTGTTAGGTTTTTGTATATGACCTTTACCAAGTTTAGGAAGTTCCTTTCTATTCCTGGTTTGTTAAGAGCTCTTGCCATAAATAGGCATTAAAGTTTATCAAGTATTCTGTTGTATCAACTGAGTTAACTGAGTTATTTTTCTGTAACAGTCTACTGAAGTAGTGAATTGCACTGATACATGTTCTGATGTTGAACCACCTTTAAAATCTTGTGATAAAGTCTATTTGATCTCAATGCTTCATGTAGTTTTGTTTTAAATGCACCCTTGCATTTGATAAATTAATATTTATATGAAATTTTTAAGTATAGTTCATAGTAAAATTGGTCTGTTGTTTTTATTTTATTTGTCTTTATATGGTATTAGAATCAGTTACACTAGCATCATATGAAGTACTGGGGAATGATAACTCTATTTTCTGGAGCAATTTGTATATGGTAAGAATTAAGTGTTCCTTAAAATTAGGGAGGTCTTTAATTCTCATTTCAATTTCTTTAATATTCATTGGCTTATTTAAGTTCTCTATTTCTTCTTGAGCCTGTTTTGGCACTTTATATTTTGCTAGGAAGTTAACAATTTTATCTAAGTTTTCAAATGTGTTAGCATGTGGTTATTCACAACACCTAATTTTTTCTTTTGAGTTTTATCTTCAGTTATTTCACCATTTTTTGGTTCCATTTTTTGCCATCATTATCGTCTGTTTTCTTTAATCAGTCTTACCAGAGGTCTATTTAATCTTAAAAAAAAAAAAAAAACCAGTAAAGGTTTGTTAATCTTCTCTATGTTCTTATGTGTTCTGTATTTCATTGATTTCTGCCCTAACCTTTATTATTCCCTGCCCTCTTGGTTCCTTGGGTTTACTGCCTTGCTCTTTTTTCAACCTTTTGGGTTGAAAGTTAGCTTGGCATTTTTAATTTTTCATGTTTCTTAATACATGTACTTATAGTTATAAATTTCCTACTAAACCTTGCTTTAGCTGTGTCCCATTAATTACTTCATAATCAGTCAGTTCTACAATTCCTTAATTTCCCTTATTATTTCACTTGTAACACAAGTTATTTCATAATACATTTATGTAAGGTATCCTTTATTATTAATTTTTAATATTACTGTCTTAAGGTTGGAGAATATACTCTTCATGTCACAGATACTCAGACTTTACTGAGGCCTAACACACGTTCTAATTTTGTAAATGTTCTCTATATGCTTAAAAAGTAACATGTAGAGTTCAAAATACACCTAATAGCTCAAACTTACATATTACATTGTTTAGGACATTCATACCTCAGCTTGTTTTTTGTTGACCTGTTTCTCAGAGTGGTGTATTAAAATTTCCAAATACAACTGCTTGTTCATCCTTGTAGTTATGTCAACAGAAGTTTATGGTAACAGCTCAAGCCACACGTACTGATGTCTGCAGATAATTTCAGGGCACCACAAAAACATCACTGATGCTGCCTCCAGCCCCAGGCTCTTGCAGCCTGCTCCCTAAACACCTCAAGACTCTCTTCAAAGGCCCAGCCCCGCCTGCTGTTGTTCTTCATTCCTGGAACCTAGGCTTCATTCTGGCTTCTCTTGGATTTTCCGGTGTTGGCTCCAGGGGAAGAGCCAGAATCTGTGCTAGGTGGCCACCTTGGTAGGAACGGGACTCAAGGGCGTTCAACCACAACCCCGCTCCCTAGCTACTGGAAATGGGAAGCCCTGATTTTCCAAAAGACTATGTGAAAGAGTACCTTCAGGGCAGATAGACTGAAGCAGAGTAAAATAACAGCATGGTATCACTTCAAACATATTTCATTTGTCAAGGGTCAGTTTGACTCTGTTCTATACATTCTTAGTAAACAAACAAGTAAACAAAAGATACTGTATAGTGACTCACCTTCCCCCATAAGCAGGCTCTAAGGTTCAGAACAGATCCATAGGCACCAAATGTTCACACTTACAGCATCTTAGAGCCTCATACCTGGAAGTGGTGATATGTCGAAGGACTGACTTTTGTTGTGGATCCCACCTACCTACAACACAAAAACACAGAGGCATATAAGTTACGTACTTATGACCTTGGCTATTAAGGACTGAGCTTCAACAGAATAGCTTTCTTGCATTCAACAGAGCAATAAACATTACTTAAACATTCAAGTATAAGACATCGTGTGGTATATGGAGATTAAAAAAATCATGTCGGTGGAAGTTTATCCCAAGAATAATGCCCTACGTGCTCCCAAATGAGGCATCTCTAAACATAAACAGGCTTCTATTTTACAAATGAGAAGTCCAAAATAAGTGTTTCAATAAAATTGCATAAACTTTTAAGAATGTAAATGAAATAATCAACTGAATATCTATACTATTTAGTACATTTATTTTTGGGTTTATGTGTGTGTGTATTACATTTATGAAACTATATAGTAAATGAAATACATCGCTGGTTTCCTCCTTTCACAATTAATAAAACAATTTCATTCAAACTCTTCCACTTCAGCATGTGATTCTGTCCCACTGCAGTGCCTTCTGTGCCATGCATGTTCTGACATACATCATTTTCACCTCGGTCTAAGTTTTTTGACTTTTTACTTTTTGAATTCACATTTGGTGTCAACACTTAAAATTTGCCCCCTAGTCACAAGTATCCATTTTCATAGCAATATCCTCTTGGTTGTATTTTTAAATCTACTCTGTAGGTGAGTATATATGACCTTCATGAATTACTGTTCTGGACATACTAAAAGTCTTGTTTACAACAGCACCCAACATTTGGAATTGTGAGGTCAGAGCACTAAGATAATTAGAAACCTGAGCTAAATGTCTGCGTTTTTCCTGAGTCTATCACATAACCTGTTTAAGCAACGAGCAACAGCACTAACTGAGGTTGTTTCAAGCTAATGTGTCATCTCCATGTAATACTTTGAGTTTCAAAATGAAATAAATGAGAAAATACCAAATTGCATAATTTTGAATTGAATATTGAGTAAAAAGCTCTCTATTTTATATGGACACACATTATCTCAGTTGAGAAGCAACTAATCAGCAAAGTGTTATTAGAGAATCAGGGATACGTTGGCTGTTGAGTTAGGCCTTGAAGTTGATAAGTGGAAATACATCAAAAAGCAATGGAATAATTTTCCATAAGAGTACCCAGACAATTCAATGGGAAAATAACAGTGTTCGCAACTTACGGTACCGGGGCAACTGAATATTCACATTCAAAAGAATGAATATGACTCCTGTCTCACACCATACACAAAAATTAACTCCAAATGGACAAAGACCTCAACGTAAGGCCTAAAACTATAAGACTCTTAGAAGAAAGCACTGGCACAAATCTTCCTGATCTGGGATTAGGCAATGATTTCTTAAATATGACACGAGAACCACAAGCGACAAAAGAAAAAAATAGATAAATTGAACTTCATCAAAATTAAAAGCTTTTGAGCTTCAAAAGATACTATCAAGAAAGTAAAAAAGACTCCAAATGAGACTAACGAGGTACAGGAGTCCAGTGACAAGGGCCAGAAGGCAGAAGGGGACAAGGAAGCTAGTGATAGGGAACACAAGGTTGAGTAAGGATATTGTTGATGTGTTGTGAGATGGTTAACCATTGTCATAGGGCAACACTTGTAGTAACTGTTAAATGAGAAACTATTTTGTTCTGTAAGCCTTCATCTTAAGTGAGAATAACAGCACAATTGGAAGAGCGTAGTCAATGTCACTGAACTGTGTATGTAGAAATTTTTGAAACGGTGTATCTTTGGCTATGTGTATTTTCACCAAAAAAAAAAAAAAAAAAAGGTTGAGAATTTAGAGGGTTAATATGCTGTGAGGTTGTTAACCAATGTCATAAAACAACATGTGTACTACTGTTTCATGAGGAACTATTTGTTCTGTAAGCCTTTACCTGAAGTACAATAAAATATTTTAAAAAAAAAAGAAAGTAAAAAAGACAAGCTATAGAATGGGAGAAAATATTTGCAAATCAGTCATATCATATATCTGATAAGCATCTGGTACCCTGAATATATAAGGAACAGTTACAACTTAAGAATAAAAAGATAAATAAGCCAAATTTAAAAATGGGCAAAAACATTTCTCTAAGAAGATATACAAACGGTCAATAAGCAAGTGAAAAGATGCTCTACATATTAGTCATTTAGAGAAATGCAAATCAAAACCACAATGAGATGCCATTTCACACTTACTTAGGATGGTTATAATAATGTTGTTGTGTGCCATAGAGTGGATTCCAACTTATAACAATCCTATAGGATAGAGGAGAACAGCCCCATAGGGTTTCCTAGGTTGCAATCTTTACAGGAGCAGATAGCAAGGTCTCTTCTCCCATGGAGTGGCTGGTGCGTTTGAGCCACTGACCTTTCGGTTAGCACTCAAGCACTTTAACCATTGCGCTGCCAAGGCTCCTTGGCTATAATAACAGCTACTATTATTATATATTTTTTAAAATGGAAAATAGTAAGTTTCAGCAAGGATGTGAAGAAACTGGAACTCTCACATAGCTGTGGTAGGAATGTAAAATGGAGTTGCTTTGGAAACAGTTCAGCGGTTCCTCAAAAAGTTAAGTGTAGAGGGTGGTGAAGCCAACATGGCGCTCTAGACAGAAGCATCACTCTGTCCCTCCACAGCAAAGACACGAAAAACTAAGTAAAACAGAGACAAACATCAATCCTGGAACTCTAAGCGTCAAATGAAGAGATAAAGAATAATCAAGCACTAAATGGAATTAGAAACTGACAGAGAACAGAGAGCCAGGAGAGATACAGAGTAGAGGTCCCCTAGAAGCTAATGCAGCATGGATGTGCCATCTTGAACTCCTCAGCCACCAAGATGGGCAGACAGGGAGTACAGAAATGCAGCTTCACAGAGCTCCCAGCAAGAGACAGAGCACCCGGTAACCAGCAATACATGCTTTCCCACCCCCTACCCTTTTTACCCCTGCTTGGCCTCTGCTGCTTCCTGGCAGACCGAGGTCCCTTGGCTAGGGAGGCACTGGCTCCGTGCCACTTAGACTTGCCCCGCCCACACCGGCTGGCTCCGTTAGTGCCACTTTTTTGTTGCTGTTGTTGTTTTTTTTTTGGTTTCTTCTCTCTCACCTCGTTCCCTTCCTTTTTGTCGAACATCTGGCTCCGTGTGCCATCTCTACTCCTTCCTGACAGGCTGTGAAGCACTGCTTGGCTAAGAAACCACTTCCCTGGTCCATGCCACCATGCCAGTGGGATCCCTGGGGGCATTTTTTTCTTTTTCTTTTTTCCTTTTTGTTTTTGTTCATTTCTCAGTTTCTCATCTCTCTCTACTTTCCTTCTTTTCCTGTCTCCTGAATATCTGGCGCTGTGTACCACCTACGCCCCTTCTGGATGGGCTGTGGAGTATTGCTCAGCTGTGGACCCACTTCCAGTGGGCTGCTGGGGGGAATTTTTGTTTTCTTTCTTTCTTCTTTGTTTTTCTCAGTTTCTTGTCTCTTTCTACTTTCCTTCCTTACCCTTCTCCTGAACACCTGGTGGCATGTGCCATCTCTGCTCCTTCTGGATGGGCTGTGCAGTGCCACTTAGCTGGGGACCCATTTCCAGTGGGCTCCCTTGGGGCATTTTTTTCTTTCTTCTTTTTTTTTTCTCCTCAGTTTCTTGTCTCTCTCTACCTCTCTTCCTCCCAGTCACCAGGTATCTTTTCTTTTTCATTTTTTCTCTCAGTTTCTTATCTCTCTCTACATTCCTTCCATTCTTTTCTCCCAAACACCTAGCCACGTGTGCCTTTCTCTCCCCTTTTTAAAAAAAATCTAGTTTCTTATCTCTCTCTTCCTTCCTTTCCTTTCTTCTGACCACCTAGCTGTGTGTGCCCTATCTGTCCCTTTTTGATGGGCTGTGCCTCACCGCCTGGCTAGAAAGCCACCAGCACATGGCTTTCCCAGTTCTGAACTACTTCAATGGCAGGCTCCCTCAGTACTTTTTTTTTGTGCCTCTGCTTCTCTCTCCTCTTTCTCATCTTTCCCACACCCACTTAGCTCCACACATCACAACCTCCCCGCCACTCCTGTCTATCTGCACTGAGTGATAAGCATTGTAACCCCAAGCAGCAAAGGCACAGTCTACTGGAACCTGTCCTGCATTGACCCCCAACCATGCCCTGTTGGTGCCAATATGTGCCACAGAAGATCCATCCCAGCCCCTTCTGCTGGACCTGCCCTGCTGCACCATAGCTGAGCAACTGGCCCTGCTCATTGGACAAGGTAGTGAGAAGTATTGTGCCCTGAGATGAGCAAACAGCAAAGAATGCACAGCCTGCCTGCTCAGACATAACCAAATAAAAACAAAAAAGCAGGATGAAACAAACAAATCTAAATCAATAAATGAAGAAAATAACTACGGAATGTCCCGAAGAGAGCAGATAATATCAAAACATATAAAAAACAAGACAGGACGGTTCCAGTCGGTGTCCAAAATAAAACATCAAATGACCTTCCAGTAGAAGAAAACGTACTGGAACTACCTGACAGGGAATTTAAATCTCTAATATTCAGAGCTATTGAAGTGTTGAAGCAAAAAGCAGACAAAAATAAGGAAAAAATGGACAAACTCAAGGAAAATACAGACAAAATCATGGAAAAGATTGACAAAACAATGGAAGAATTCAGGAGAATAATACAGGAACAAAATGTCAAAATAAATTCACAACTAGAAACCATACAAAAACAGCAATGAGAAATCCAAAAGATAAACAACAAGATTTCAGAAATGGACAGTGTCATAGAAGGTCTGAGGAGCAGGTTTGAAACAATGGAAGACAGGATCACTGAAACTGAAGACAAATACTTGGATACCACCTTGAAGAAAAATCAGAGAAAAGAACAAAGAAAAATGAAGACACCCTGAGAATGATATGGGATATGATCAAAAGCAAAAATCTGTGAGTGATCAGAATTCTAGAACAGGAGGAGGAAACAGAAAACACAGAGAGGATTACTGAAGAATTGATGACAGAAAACTTCCCTAATATCATGAAAGATGAA